TGACAGTTCTCAAGCAAGATTTTTTCCACCCTACAGAGCTCAAGACCTGAACTATCTTTCTAATATGAATGTTCATTCATACCATCTTCCGTCTTCAGGGTATACTTGGAGTATTATGCCTTTCATTCCACTTGAATCTTAAGGTCACTGCTGAATTCCAAGCTGGGATGGCAAACAAAGCACACTGATGCAGGCCCCACAGATATTGTTTGCTCTGCTAGAATATTAATGGACCAACACTTTGCAGACGCTCCTATTTGTTTGCTTTTCATCTTCGACATCTTCTCTTCACTCGATTTCAAGCTCTTCGTCTTTGCCAACATGTTCTCTTCACTCGATTGAAGATCCTGATCTTCGACAACTTCTTATCTTCACTCAATTTCAAGCTTTTGTTCTTCGACAACATCTTCTCTTCACCCGATTTCAAGTGTCAACCAACCTCCATAACACCATCTATCCACTAGATTTGATAGAGGTCACCTGTAAATCGACTTCAGGTTGCTGTTTGCTCTGGTGAGTTCGATAGAGAAGCCGGAGATCTGTGGCTCATAAATGCCCCCTCGGCAACAATGAGTGATAGCGTGACATAGAAGGAGCATCAAAGGCTTACAATTGCAATCAGAGATGATGGCTGTCCCGTCCAGTAGCGCGCAAGTGCCGCATGAAAACATTGAAGTTTCGGACGCCGGTGACTTCACTATCCGCATTCACGAGTTCGACCCAGCGATCAGGCAAGACAAACGCTCCGACGACGATGCTATCGAGGCGGGGGCCAAAGGCCTTGTGCGAACGGCGTCCCTCAAGGTCCAAAAGGGCATTCTCCTGGGACGCAGTCAGTATTTCAGAACCATGTTTGACGGCCGCTGGGCACACGGGCCCAAAGAGGACAGTGTCATCCTGAATGAAGACACTGTTCGAAGTATGGAGCTCTGGCTCCGTGTGTTGCACTCCACAGCCGACGCTTTGCCCAAGGAATCTATCTCTGTCGAAGAAATCTGGCACGCTATCATGGCTGGGGACAAGTACGGTTTCGATCTCCAAGAACTACAAAGATGGTTCGTCGCTTGGTACAAGGAGATGAGAGATAAGAGAGGAAAGAAGATGTTCTTAGAAGAATTTGCGCCGCAATTACTCTTTCCTTGCTACGCCTTCAATTACGCTGAGGGTTTCCAGGAGTTGACTAGATTCATGACTTACAATGAGCCGCGGCATATCATGGAGTCTAACCCCACACATCATCTGCAGATGCACCTGCGCCCTCGAATTATCCGTAAGTGTCTAGCAGTCTTTGCCATGTGGTTCATCCTGCCCAATCGTGTCAGACCAAGGTCAAAGTCATCCCGCTGATCAAAGTATCCTCGCAGAACAGTTGAATGCTGCGAAAGGTCGCTTGCGCACGATTCTACACCAGGCTTTGTTCAAGCGCGTCAATGAGATTATCGACAGCGCGACATGCGCCTGCAAAGAGCAAACCGTTTTTGATTTTCTAAAAGAACTTCGACGAATTGGCGTCTCGCCGCTGGACCTGAGCAGCACTAAAGCAAGTGTTGCTGAAATGCTTGACCGGTTGCGACAATATGACGGGTCAAAAACTCGCTCTCATGCCCTCTCTTCAAATGATACTTCGGTAAATCAATCACGTCGAAGACCGTGTTCTGTGTGCTGGCTTGACGGGGACGCCATTGTTCACAAGGCCATCGAGCGGGTTTCCAGCTATTTTGATGGTCTATGCCTTGACTGCATGGATCGTACAAAGGATCTTCGGGTCGAGGGATTTAAAGACCAAGACTATTGGTTTCATAACGAATGGATGGAATCCTATGACAGGCGCTGCCGCATCTCGCACGGCGAGCCCACCTGGTATTTCAGTTTCATGGGACGTAAGGAGAAGCGCGGCCTCATCGCCGAGTAGACGTCAGCAATCATACAGTCGACATCCTGGATCCGCGCAGCAGGCATATTACTGAGGCTGGATTACAGGGGAAGTTTAAGGGGCTCTCGCAGACGGAACTGATAAGTATCTGGTCAAACTAGTTTTGCTTCATGTCTCAAGAAAATAGTGGTGGTTGCATGATACCATTGCCATGGTGCTTTGGAGTTATCCCTTTGGGCGTTGTTCCGAAATGGAACAGACTGCATTTCTTCTTTCCTTGTTAACTCTCTGACGAATATCCGAGCAAGCTGCTACAGACAAGAGGATTTCTTCACTTGCATTAAGTAATACGATACTATCATAATGCACAGCTTAATATGATAACACACTGTTAGTAGCAATTAAGCTCGCGGGGTCAACGATATAAAAATGTCCTAGGATACCTTACTCACATACTTATGTGGAGACAGATGGCATTCGATACCACCAATAGTCCAAGACTCATGATCCCAGTCCGACATCTTTAGCGCGTGATTCTTTCTGCATTTTGAGACTTGTCAACAACCTCATTTGTCTGCTTCTCCCCCTCTACCCGCTTGGCATGGTTAGTCTACCTCGTGCATTTCGACTTACCAGACCTCGAATAGGAAAGTCAGACGTGCAAATGACTCCATTCAGACGTGAGTTTGGCGATCGAGCCTCGTGTCGACAGCGTCTACATTGTGTGCAGTGATGCCACGCTAACAGTCCCTTGCTTCCCAGTCTCACCGATGATCGGCATATTAAGGGTTACACAATGGAGGGGACAGGCCATTCTTAAATATGCAGTTGATCCCTTGCTAAATTGAAATCCACTGCATAGGTACCTTTCTCTATGCACGACATCGAAGATGTTCCTTCTCACCATCGTGGCGCCCAGCGCTTTGTTGGTGCTGCTTCTCTATAAATTCCTAATTGTGCCATATTTCCTGTCACCTCTTTCAAAGATCCCCAATGCACATTTCACAGCACCTATCTCGGACTATTGGATTGAAAGGAAGCGCCGGTCTGGGCAGGAGGTACTGACCATCTACGACCTTCATCGCAAGTATGGGCCTGTCGTGCGCCTGGGACCCAATGAGCTGAGCATCAATTCACTCCGGGGGCTTCATGCTATCTATACCGGTGCATTCGAGAAACATTCCTTCTACCGCGATGCATTTGTCAATTTTCTTACAGATAATCTCGTGGGCATGTTACCCAACGATTCTCATGCGCGACAGAAGCGCATGCTGAGCAAGATCTACTCCAAGTCATATCTGCGGGAGTCGGTGGATCTGCGCAATATTTCGTCAATCATTCTTTCGCAGAGGCTTCTCCCTATTTTGCAAAAGGTTGCGGAGAAAGGAGAGGCGATCAATGTCTTGCCGCTATTCCAGGCTGTGGGGATGGATTTTACGTCTGCGTTTCTGTTTGGCACGGCCAATAGCACGACTTTTCTTTTCGATCTCCCAGGATGGGAGAAATGGCTCGTGGAGTATGAGAGGTTCAAGTACTTGAGCTTGAAAGAGCGGTATATGGGCTCCATCGAGAGCTGGTGTCTGTCGCTCTGCCGCAGAATGCAATGCAATGAGCATCCTAACGAAGTGCCGGTGGCCACAAACGCGGTCGTGTATAGTCAGCTCCGCCAGAGTCTGGAGAAGCATCCGGACGAACGACCTCTAGATCTGGCACTTGCATCAGAACTTCTCGATCATCTCGTTGCTGGACACGAGACCTCAGGGATCACCTTCGTGTATATGATGTGGGAGCTCTCGAAGCGACCTCGGCTGCAAGCTGAACTTCGTCAAGAGCTGCTCACATTAAAGCCACCTTTGAAACATCCATTTGTGGGGTTGAGTAATGAGGGCCTCCCAATTCTACCAACACCAGCCGCTATAGACTCTCTCCCTTTGCTGGACGCCATTGTCAGAGAAACACTTCGATTGCATTCGCCTGCGCCTGCTCCGTTACCAAGGGTCACCCCCTTGACACCAGAAGGTATAGCAATTGAAGGATACGATCGCATCCCCGGTGGAGTCAAAGTTAGCTCGTCCGCATATACTCTGCACCGAATCAGCGAGGTCTACCCTCAGCCTTTCGAGTGGTTACCAGAGCGCTGGCTAGAACCAGGACCAGGAAAAATTCACGATATGCGGAGACTCTTTTGGCCGTTTGGAAGTGGTGGGAGAATGTGTCTGGGTAGTAATTTTGCATTGCAAGGTACGGAGCCCTTCTGTTCTCTTCCTTTCCTCGCAAAAGCATAGTCCTGAATGCGAGCTGACTGAATCTGCTGGCGGTTGAAGAGACCAAACTTGTCATGGCTGCAGTTTACACCGACTATACCACGTCTATCGTCGATGATGAAGGCATTGAACAGGACTATGCTTTCATTTCATTACCCAAGGGCCGGAAGCTGACGTTGAAATTCACGCCTGTGAAGCTGTAAATATTCGGTTTTCATACATCACTCTCTCTTTTTGTGCTCATTCATCGAGAACCGGGATCATTGCATAGTGAGTGTTACTTCAAGCCAGATGATTTGCGTAAACGCAGTGAGCAATAAACTTTCTATGTCAGTGGCCAAATGGACAGCTTCAATGGTTGAGCCAGCCCAAGGTTCCAAGTCCTAACCATGTGCCTACTTTGCTCCATTGTGCCCAACAACCGAAAACAATGTGCCCCGATGCGGGTCGATATCTCGAAACCTATGATCACTTCCATGGCTTTCGATCTGGCACACCCGGCCGTGCTCCGAACCTACGTTGAGAAGTTTAATTTCGACATCCTGAGACTGCACCAAAATAGAGACTCCTTTGCTGCTTCCAATCCAGACCTCAGATACAGACGGCCATGCGCGAGCTGCTGGACCTGGATAATCTCTTGTGGTCAGGATATATTACTGAACAAGTAGTGTTGCGAGGAAAATTGCATCAGACTGGTTTTCTCTGGGTATGTACAAAAGCATATCTACATATAAAGATTTAAACCTAGATACAAATCATCATGGGGATATCCAATCTATGATTCTGATCTTTTCTCTCAAGTTGCTACCATGACGCCTGCATTATGCAATGTCTCTCTCCTCCATTGAGTTCCCATAATACCCTTAAGCGGGAACGTTCTCCGAAATTTCCCTGGGGCGGTACTCCGTGAAATTTTCCGGCCAAAGGAACATCTTCTCTTCCTTCGAAGGAGTGGCGGCGATGAATTGAGGAACCTGGTCGAGATAGTTAGTAGGTGACAGTAAGTAAAAAGCGTTTGGGGACTTTAGACATACGGATTGCTTGCTGGAAACCCTTCTCCACATGTTCGCACGTGGGTTGAACCGAGCTGGAGTTCCCTCGCCTTTGGTCTTTTCCTGGTCTTCTTTCATGATCGATTCAATCTCCCGCTTGATGTCCGCGAATGTCTCAAAAGGAATATACGAGATGTTGTTTTCCTGGCAATACTCCTCGAGGCGAAGGCCCTTGCGCGCGAAGAGAACATCGGCTTCACGGGCAGCAGCAAGATCAGACACACCATCGCCAATGAAAACGATCAGGGGAATTTGGCCATCGATGCAATACTTGGCGGCCTCGGCGCGACCTTCCTGGACCGAAAGGGCCTTGTCATGACCAAGCTCGGTGTCATGTCTCCAGATCGGTTTCCATTCCGAACCGTCCGATTTGATATCAGCGTCGTTTGCAACGATGCGGATTGACGACTTCACCGGCCGATCAGCGACTTTATTCAATCAGCGGATCGTTGGTGTGACTTACTGCCGGCTCTCCCAAAAACGTGTCCAGCACTCTGCGCAAGATGGGTTTCAGTCCTGCACTGATCACGTTGAAATCGATGCCGTTCGCAATGCAGAACTTGTGAAACTCCTGAAATCCAGGGTCGATTTCGAGTTCCTTCTCCATAACCTCGAACCCATCTTCAAAGGGGACTCGCAGAGATCCCCACATCTCCTCGGACACTTCACGGAATGACCGCTCGCCGGTTTTGATCTGTTCATCCAGCATTTGCCGGCGCTTCGTGCCGCATCCCAGATTGTCGAAGAGAATATGACCAGTGTCTTGCATAAATATGGTGCCGTCAAAGTCTGGGAATAGCACAAAATTACCAACCAATCAGCACTCCTATCGTTGTCATAGTAAAAAAACACAGGCATAGGATCGACAGGGACCAAAGCTTGTGCTGAATTGCTGGAGCTTGCGTACCTGAAAAACAGACAATTTTTCTTGTTGTGTTAGGCATGTTTCTAGTTTAGTCTTGTAAGCAACCGGGCACAGAGTCTTGGGATTGGTGGATTGAAGTCACAACAAATTGGTCACAGATATCTGGGGACATCATCTTGGTCAAATATGTCTTCCAAGTGGCGACGTCGAATTGCTAGAACGGGTTAACAGGATATCGATCACGCAAAAGAAAATGACGTCGACGCGTCTCTCTCATAAACATTTTAGCGGCTGGCTTGCAGATACTGAAAGAGTGGAAATTCAATAGACTGGGTCTGGATCATGCTGCTCAACCTCTAAAGGGTCGAAGAGTCAATTCTCATACTCCGCCAGGTGGTGGAGACAATTGCAGGCGGAGCTCCTATTCGATGTTGATTGGCCAATGTTGGAAGATCGCTTATCGAGACTCGCGCACGTGTTTTACGCATCATTCCTTATCGGGTTAGATTCAGCTGCTTGTTGAGCCGAAACAGGAAAAGTTCAGGGCAGTATTAAAACCAGTGTGGCAGAATTGACGTCATTGGGGCTTGGTCTTGCCGATGGCCGATTTCTGGATCGCCGAATCAGATTTTCGCTTGGTATAAATCTTCTGTTGAGAAAACCCCTTGAACTTCTAATCAGAGAGCTGTGCCGTCATCAATCTAATGTCGTCAGGGGGGTCAGTGGAGACTAACAATAGAGGTGACGTTTCTGACACCACGACTGGTGCCAGCCGCCAAGTGATATGACCGGAATCACACCCAGAACAGGAAATTTATTATGCAGCTGGTCAAAGAGTATGCAGATGAGTATAGATTCCTCGCATTCAGCAAACTCAACTATGTACAACGGCGTGTTCCTTTGGTCTCGACCCTGAACCGGCGATACTTTCATCTTCAATGGCAAATAGGAAATGCAGGGCTTGATGGAGTGACTGTACCACCATAAATGACTTGGTTACCTGGACCGGTAAAGACCGTCTCCTTTCCTTCGACAGTGGAACAACCATTACCAACATTCGCGACGAAGAGATCAGGATAAGCACTCCCAAAAGAGGATGGACTGCCAGTACCTCCACTGATAACCACATCTGCGCAATTCATGTACAACTCCCGGTTGCCGATCAAATTGTACCAAGTCCAGGCAAACAGGGCTTGGCCGTTAGCGACATCACCAGGTATCTTGAAGTTATACCTCGACACGAGTGGACATCCACCTTCCATGGACTGAATGACTTTGAATGTGCTGCCGTTGTCGTAGCTCAGAGAGAGCTGGCAAGAGCCACCACCATGGGTTGCGGAGCCGCTTAGGGTCATGTTGTATGTCTGGCCAGCAGTATACTCTGCGGTTGCGCACCAAGGAGTATTGGTCTGGTATCCTTTGCAGGGGAAATTAGAGCCTGTCACCTGTTAGACATGCCCTGGTCCATTCTGATTATGGTTAGGGGTGAGGCACCATCGCTGTCCAGAGGACTGGTCATCGAATAGTCGATATCCTCCTCAGGCACCTGTGGGTCGAAGCGACTGCGAAGGGGATAAGGCCAACTCATTTCCATATGAGCTGCTGCCAGGCTGATAGTGCACAGGCCCAGCACAACTTTGCTGAGCATCATCGTTGCCAGGTGATATTTCCCTTTGTCTTCGATTGGATGCTTTTGAGAGCTTTGGTGGATTGATGCATAACGTTGCCGGCAATTGCCCTGTTCTTATACCTTTCGCCCTCCCCAAGTCCATGATGGGAATATTTCGGGAATGCTGAAGATGGAAAACTCCCTCCAGGTTACATCTCAACTGTTGCACGTCTCAGTCCCATTGAAACTGTCGACAAAGCAATGCCTGCGACGTTCGGTAGCAGGAGGAATCCAGGCGCATTGCATGGAAGTTGAAACAAAAAAGCTCCACTTGACCATGACTGGGTTACATAGGCCTTCAATTCTCGTTTGAGCCAGTTTCAGTATGCTGTGTCTGTCACTTCATTCTCTCATCCGGAGGACGATCACAATCTAGTCACATCCTCACTTCGCGTAGCGCAATCAACATTTCGCTATGAGGTGAGAGCCTCCAGCCCCATGGGTTACAGTGACAATCAAAGATGAGCGGGGTGAGTGGCCCTGCTTGATGCTCGCTCGAGAGATAAAGACGAACCTGAAGAGATCGTCATGCGTGTCCGATTGGATTCGATGGCTTTGATCAATCTACATGAACAGCGGCCTAAGACAAAAGAGGAATGTGCTATCTGTTCCTGGCATAGATCTCGCATCTATCTGTGACTATCCCCACACGACGAGAGATGACTCTCATCAAGGTACAGCATGACTCGGCAATTTCAAGTTCTGCCGAGCGATTAATCATTGATAGCGCGAAGCGCCAAGCTAGTCCCATGAGATGCCTAGTCTCTCGTGACTGTTCAATCACCTTGAGAAATTTGTGAGGGGGAGGTACTTGGCGCCCTGGTCTAATTTCTTTTCGACCAGGGTCTGAAGCAAGTGTCGACTACTTTAGGTCTATACAACATTATAATCCTACTGTTACACCTTGTTCGAGAGATTGATAATCGTTTCAGTTGTCTGGCGATTTGTTGCACTTTCACGCGAAATTCATTCAGCCCTGCAGGGTCCATCCTCATTCTCACTAGTCTCTATTGCTCTGCCTCGACATCGACTAAACATTAGAATGGAGTTGAGCACTTGAAGCCAAGAGTATGCGCACTCTTGCCCGCTCATCACAGCCAAATGTCTGTGAAGGGCCTCCGATTTTGCTCTTGGAAACTAAAAAGGGGGCCCGAATTTGGTTCATGAGAAAGAGCAGGCATAAAGAACGCATAGTCCTCGTACAGAGACTTTCGCTTCGAGGTGCTGATAAGCTTCAAGTTTTCCTTCAGCTCTACGGACCTAGCGTATCATAAATCAAACTAAACCAATGTGAGTGCAAGTGATGGATGAAAAGCAAATGGAGCTAACATTTTCGTATTCATAAAGTATATAGGAAAATCCTAGCATGACAGGTTGGTGGATAACTTTATAGTCGCCCATATCGCAGACTACAAAATCGGTCTCAAGAAAGCAACCACATTTTGACTGAGTACAGAGCACTTTAGATGATCATTCATAGTCTGCTAGTAAATTTCTGCTATAGTAATAATCAACATGAAACAGAGATCGTCAATGTGCTTGTAGCCTAATAATGTGCTCTGTTGATGGCCCCATCTAAGCCTTGCTCACACTCAGGGCTGTGTGCATATGTATAGTCATGTCAAGAGAACTGCTTTGAGGATTGAAGACAAGAGTAGGTTTGTGTTTACAATGTTATTATTGTCAGGAGCAAAATTCATTGGCATATGACTGACAAACACGTTCATGCCAAAACTAGAACTGGGGCCGTCTATCCACCATAACGCTGATCATCAGCCAAGCGGAGGCCAACATTGCAGATTCTTCCGTCGCGAGATCCATAATAGGGGACTCGGCCATGGAGCATTGTTGGTTTTAGACTCATTTATAACTGATCAGTGCTGCCTTAGGTCTGCCTCGAGGCTGTGTTGGTCCTTACTGTCTTCGATTATAACAATGGGCGTATCGAGACATTTGTGATCTTATTACTTGCTATTCGCTCTCGCTTCTATTTGGCTGTCTTAGTGGTGCTGATGAGTTCTAAACGATTGGGACTCGTTCGAAGGACAATATGACGAGAAATTTTTGGAAGAGCCAGGATCCTTTCACCACCAAATCTGCTTTGCTCTGTCTCGTGCAAATCCTCGCAAGTCCGGCTCGAAGTACAGCGCATGATGAACCAACAGCAACCACGACAGTGATCGTTCCAGCCACTGAAATCTATTATCCCCCATCCACCTCTACGCCCGTCCCGATCACGAGCCCCGATCGTTGGGTGGTCCCGTTGGTCGGTCTGTCTGACGATGTTACAACACCTTGGGGTGCCAATGTTACGAGTGGGAATGGCACGGTGAATGCGTATACCATATCTGTTGGGCAAGGCGACAGCGACAATCATGGTGGGGAGAATGGGAGCCAGCTGCTGAACCGAACACAATACGCTTTGATGGACGCGCAGTTCATAGGAGACGTCAACGGCAACCATGTCAATCTCTCCGTATCCCAGCCGGACCATCACATACTCAACCTGGGCAACGACTCTCACCTGACAGTCACCACCAGCGGTATCGATGAGGATACTTCCATAAAGACAGTCCCTTTTGGCTTAAACCTAGGCCATAAAGGCGAATGGAATGGTTCACTTGCACTAGGTGGATTCTACGACGCCAATCGTCTCACCGACGACGCGACATCCTGGATCTCCATCGCAGAGACCATGAACAGCAATGGTACCTTTCTGCAGACCGGCAAGCAGACCCTCTCCGCCGTCATTTTACGCGTCTGGAAGTATAATCCCGGCCCGAGTGGCACCAACACGAGCATCAACGCCAAGGTGAAACGGTCCGGTCCCTTCTCGGTCTCGGACGAGTCTGAACCTAGCATCGTGTACCCTGCGCGGTTGGATATGACCAGCGACTCGCTGATCCTGCCACGAGACTGGTGCGGCCGCAACATCACGCTGGAAATCAACATGTTCCCGAACCGAGTCGCAAGTGCCACTAGTTCGATTTTGATTGGGATCCCCGGGAATTTGACCGACAACCGCAGCCGGTGCAGCTTTGAGCAGAATACCGAAGAGATCGTCCTCGGTCGTCCTTTCTTTCAGGCGGCGTATCTCTACGTTGATGTAACCGGCGAGGTGAGGATCCTTCCTGCCAATCAGTACAATCTTCCACCCAAGCCGGTTCCATTCAATGCTACTGCGAGACCGGTACTGCCTGACCGCCGCACTTCGAGGTATAGCCCCGGTGCTGCGGGCGGAACTCTGGTCAAAGGCAGTTGGGGCGACCGAAGCTTGCCTGTTGGGACGGGGGTCAGTGGTGCTGTTGCCTTTTTACTCGTACTTGCTGGTTTTGCGTTTCAGCTATGAATAGATACAGCTAGCAATAGCACATGATACCCATCTATTATCTCCTTGCGAAGAGAATCTCCCAGGTGCTTTCGGTAATTATTATGTTCTTTCAGCGGCCTTCCACGGGCACTGCCATGCTTGCACCAGCTCCAACCGAGATGAAGTTATGAACATGTGAACCGCATCCTGTAGTCTGGCACAACGCAGTAATCAGTTCATTTCAACATGAGCAAAGCAAGGCCAATGATCTACCAGAGACACTGTATTAATTTGTTGTTGTACTGGAAGGAAAAGCGACTAGACTACTTCGGCGCATCACGAGATGAACAATTGCAAGGTCATTCCACTGATGATACAATACGCCTCCCCTTGCCGACGAGAATACTAGATCAGAAGCAGAAAATCTGGTCGGTCATCTTCGAAACTGCTCCTGGCTTCTGGAATCCCATCGCAGCCAGCGTCTTCTTGGTAGCGCTCACCATGCCCGGAGGCCCACAGAGGAGAACCTTGGTGTCAGGCGAAGGCGCGAATAGCCGCTCACTGAGGATCTCCTGGTTGACAAATCCGCTTCCATACGCCCAATTCTCTGGGGCAGTGTCAAGTATGTACCACAGCCTGAAATTCTTGGGGTATTTGCGTGCAAACTGCTCGAGTTCATCCCGCAGTAAGATGTCTGCCTCGGTTCTGTTGGCGTAGATAAGGCTAATCTCTGTCGTGTCACGTTCGTCCTCGCAGATAGCACGGATCAGCTGGAGCATCGGTGTGATTCCTGTTCCCCCGGCTACCATTCCTAGCTTCTTGCAGAACCCTGGTTTGTAGCGCATCGCTCCATTGGGGCCTCTGAATTCGACCTCGTCACCCACTTGCAGGTTCGCTAGGTACTTTCCGCTGAGCATGCCGTCCGGATAGCATTTCACGACTAACTCCAGTCTTCCTCGGTCTAGGTTGTTCGAAACGGGTGTATACGACCGGCTCACGGTGGCACCATCGATAACAGCGCGAATGGCGACATGCTGACCGATGGGAAGACCAATCACTCCGTTGCCATCAGGTAACCCAAACGCGAAGCGGTATACGTTTGAAGATAACTGATCCTTCTGGATTAAAGGCAGGCGCTGAAACTCCTTCGGGTCAAGAAACCCTTTAAGCAAGTGTGGGTCAGCCCTGGGCACCTTGCGTGCCTTGATATGCGGCGGATACCGCAGGAATCCCGACTCGATCTTGGTGAGTCTGGCGGCTTGACGTGCGATAACACCCCCTGCTGCCGCACATATCAGAGTAGCTGCGATGAATCCATTGGCGAAGCCTCCCTGCGGCAGCCTTAGCCCGCTTAAATGCTGAGAGAGATATCTGTGAAGTGACCCCGTGGTGTCAAGTGCGTGCAGAGAGCCGCGACGGTAGACATAGATCAAGGAGGCGACTGCTCCCAGGAGACTGGTGACCGCTCCTATGTATCGGGTTGCTGATGAAGAAGGAGTCTCAACGGAGCTCTGAGCGACGACGCGGACTTTCTTCGGAGGGACATATTCTTTCCCGCCCTGAAGGGTTCCGATTAGGAATTCTTGCAAAATCTCGCGCGAATCCTCTGAATGACCGATGTCTTCAAATGCTTCTGTCGCATCTGAGCCGGCAACCTCAACCAGAACATCTGCGCCGCCGGGATGATCTTGTTGGTATTTTGTCACATCGTACACTGTCAAGTCTCAGCAAATGAAGGCTTCTTGTTCAAATTCTGTACTATCCTGAGCGTCATGCGACTTACCTTGTCCGTGAATCACAATCCAATTGTCGTCCTTGCGGTTATGCAGTGCAACTTCCTTCAAAGTGTACTTGGGTAAATCAACAGCAGGGCTTTTCTGGGCGGCGCTGACATCTGCCATCGCTGGAACGGACATTGCTAACGGCATCAAGAATCAAAGGGAAGGCTTCAAGTGAACATAATTAAGTCGTGACGATTGGGGGCAGCAGGCAGTTCGCGGATTTTATAAACCATGTCGACGTTAGCAACCATTGAGCGAAAGCATCGGCCAGTGAAAAGACGGATAAAATTCATCATTATTCTTGCTCAACCAGCCTGTATCCGCGCTCTACTCTAGTGCATACCGAGTACTCCGTACTAGCGATCCCCCTACTAAATTATTCAGTAGGAAATGAAACCCTAATAATCATCTCTTGTATCCACTTCCGTTTGCCTCCACCGGCGCAACTTCCCCTGCAATTCTAGCGCACCGCACTAGTTTTCTAGAATCGGCATCTTTACCTCGGCACAAGCACACTTTTAGTCTTGCTTTTGTTTTTGTCTGAGATCGGCCCGAACATGGACGGTTTATCCTGAGAATAATGCTGGACTGTTTCTGGCTCGGCACGCCTTAATCCAGGCTGCAAACGAAATCCTTGTTGGGCCTCGGTCGGGTTACCGAATTGTACACGGTACAACTTCTCACTGAATGAACGGGCTGTGCATCGCTTGCAATTTTCCAAATAGCAAATGGACAACATCATCATCCTGATGCCACTCAGCCCAGTCAAAGTGAAGCAGACTGGTCTGTTGTCATGATTGCAATTGCCCCTTAGACGTCTGTCACCATTGTACGAACTGCTGTTGTACTTGTACATGGCTCGTCTGCATAAGCAGAAATCTCTGGTTAGTGGCGGGACTTCAATGTTGATCGCTCAATTAGAGTTGGATTTAATCTTAGAATCCAACACAAAGCTCCAAACAGCCGAGGCACCTTTTAAATAGTAACCTTTTCTGGGATATTGTCGCGGACGAAATCAGCGCATCGAACTAGTCAAGACGGACTCGCCGATTCCGTTGAATCCATAGTACACGGCACTTATCCATGAGGTGGATGCACTATGCGGTGATGCTCTGGTTCCTCTTGCTGTAGTTCGGCTTTTATCCGAGTTGCATCTTATCTGGCGCCATTTTGCATAGACTTGCAAAGTCGTATACCCCCTATAAATGATTGAGGATGGCCGTCCGTCAAAGTTTTCGGTTCGTGTCCGATAACATCCCATTCCTCCAAATCATTTCGCTGTGGAGTCTGCACGCCAGTTTGCGACAGGATGTCGACGACAACAAAGCTCTTTCACCTTCTGGGTGAGCCCATCGCGACTGCGAAACAGATCCAATTTGAGTCAACGACGACATATGAAGACCTAAGGCATCTGATTGCGGCGCACTTCGCCATCGTTGAGCCCAATGGTAAGGTCTATCTAAACCCCACCGGAGCACAATATAGATAATCTGACCCTCGCAGGCATTGGATTCCTATCGCAGGATTCTATACTGCACGATGTACCCGAAATCGCCGCAAGTGAAGATACCATCAGCATCACAATCGATGGGAAGCCGGTGCGCGAGATACCAGGCCCCAAGGGCCTTCCATTCATTGGGAACTTCTTTGAAGTCTATCCCGACCATCTGGGCAATCACCAGCGTCTTTTTGAACAGTACGGACCGATCTTCAAGACAACCACCATGGGTCGCACCGTATACCATACCAATGATCCACAGCTCTCATCAATCATTTTCTCCGAGACAGACTTCTTCACGAAGAAGATCAATGCAGCGCACCCTCTGCATCCGATCAAGAATCAGGAAGCTGGTGTCTTCTTGGGCGATACCGACACTCCAGAGTGGAGGACAGCACATAAGTTCCTGCCACCGGCACTTGGCCCCAAGGCCGTGCGTCATTATGCCCCCATGATGCAGGAAACGGTTGAAGACGCGTTCAACGTCTTTGATGCCCTCGATGAGAAAGAGGAAGCATGGAACGTCTATCAGTACATGCTCAAGCTTGGATCGCAGGCGGTTGGCAAGTTGGTCCTTGGAATTGATTTCAAACACTTCTCGTCTATTGATGCACCTCCACATGAACTTGTCTATCGTATCGCGGAGTCATTGGAACTGAATAAGAAAGTGACTGCATGGGGTGATTGGTATGCCAAGTTGCCGTTCGGTGACCCGCAACGGTTGAGAAATGCCAGAGGGCGTATCATCGATATGGTCAATGAGTCCATCCAAAACGCTGCTCGCGGAGGCATTGAAGATCTTCCTCTACAGGATGCGGCGTTGAAAGCATCCAACATGGTTGGTACGTAATAGCTTCTTACAACTCGGATGAATACATTGGCTGATTTCTCTAGACTACGCTATCCGAGCCACCGACAACAAGGGCGAAAAGCTGCCCAAGACCAGTCTAATGCAGGCTTTGGTGGTTGCAACAGGAGCCGGCTTCACGACCACTAGTTCATTATTATCATGGCTTATCTACGGCCTCGTCACGTACCCCGGGGTGCAGGAGAGGTTGCTGCAAGAACTAATCGACAATGGCATTGATGCCGACACGAAACTTACTGCGGACTTGACGGATAGCCTGACCTTCATGGACAAGTTTATCAAGGAGACCCAGCGTCGGCATAATCCTTCATACCAGCCTGCGCGAACGGCCAAAGTAGATCTGATTCTTCCTGGTGGCTACAAGCTTCCACAGGACTCGGTCGTCATTGGTGCTCTGCACCATCTTCACAACAATCCAGAAGTGTGGAGCAATCCTGCGCGGTTCGATCCTGACCGCTGGGACACAGAGGAAGTCAAGAACAGACACAAGACGGCCTATATTCCCTTCGCCACTGGTCCTCGCATGTGTATCGGGTTCAACTTTGCTTTGCAAGAAGTCAAAGTCTTCCTGCCAAAGCTGGTGTACCGATACAAGTTTACCAGGGAGAATGACGGGCATATTGAGTACGATCCCATGTTCCAGCTGATTCGACCGACCAACCTATACGTTCGCGCCGAAAGGCGTGTCAAATGGCCGCCGAGGTCAGACAAACCGGCTCCATCGCCTTCGCTGTGATGACGACGTTTCTACTATAATATTTGGGCATTTACTGCGGCTTTGTTCCTCGATTACAAGCTTCTGTAGTGTAGACTAGCGTTTCGTTTTATCAAAATACCATTTCCACCGCTTTGTCTGTAGGAATCACCTTCCATGTACGATTAAGAAGAATCAATGCGCAGAATCTGTTTGAGCAGCATCTGTAGAACGATAATCTTTTCGAGGTTCTAGAACATAACACCAACGTGACATTTTACAATCACCTTATGATCTGTCGACAGCAAGCCTTGCCACGCATCGTGCAGGCAATAAACCAAATGCGAACCTAACAAAAGTTCGCAGCACTCTCATTAGGGAAAACATGGTCAATATTGCAGGATGGGTTGCCGCCAGGGACAAAGAGCGGAGTGGCTAAAAGTCGTCATTGTTACCAGCCACAGCTAAAGATGGCGAATGTAAGTGGCAACATACCATCAACAACCAAATCCGCACTGGGATTACGCACGATCGACAAGCCGCCCGTCGGGGTCAGGCTCATTTCGCAGTTGATCTGGTCCTGGCCTCCGTCGGTGGTGTTGCTTCCCGTCCAGATATCGATGTGATGGATACCAGAGCTGGTCCATTCATCTGCGCATTGAGAGCAAAGATCCTCGAACCGAATGTACTTGGGTAGATACGGGGCGAAGATGACTTCGCACTGAGTGAACTCGCCAGGGGCCGAAGCGAAGGTCAGAGGATCGTCGAAAGTGCCGATCCCGCCGGCTATGAGGCCACGACCACAATCGTAGGCGATTGCAGGGCCTGGGGGATCGTTGTCAGGGAATCCGTAGAATGTATGCGTGACCGCAGGGACGATGTCGCATGCTTGAGCCGATGTGAAAGCCATAGTGGCCATGGCCGTTATCATCAGACGATCTCTCATGGTTGGTGTGTCACTGTATGGCTATAGTATTTGCTTGAATCGAGACATTGTGATCAGTCTCTATGTCTTTGCCAATTTATATCCTTTGCCTTGTTAGCGTGCCATGGTCATTGTCGTGTTGGTTCAAAGTATGGCGGACTGTCATTCCTCAGTGACGTAGAGTCCTTCCATTGTTGAGATCTTCTGGATCCTTAGTACACATGAGTACGGCGGAAGAGTACCAGACATTCAGACCTACATGCAGATAAATGTGAAATATAGGGATATCCTATTGAGACGGCGGTTGTCGTTTCGATTTCCTCGATGGATCAAGCCATCTCGGCCGATTTAACCAGAAAAGGAAGCGGGCGATCGGCGATGGTTGCCTACTTTTTTCCCCTGGTCTGGCATGAGGAAAACGACCGTCTTGGCGATTGAGAGAAAAGAAAGGTATTCAATTTTTCCAACTCTGACCAGTTGAATGACCGATCCGCTCACATGGCATCCACACACTCTGTTCCGGGCAGATTTGATGGTCTGCACAGAAAAGTCCTCGGCGAACTGGGCCTTCTGACACTATGGCGTTCCTCACTGGACGTCAAGCTTCTCTGTGCACAGCGCTTCATCCGACTCTTCGCCTATGGAGGTTCAACTCTGATATTAGCTTCATATCTGTCTGCCTTGGGTATCTCAGATGACCGCATTGGCTTGTTTATGACCTTGACTCTGGTCGGCGATGTCGCAATCAGCTTTTTCCTTACGCTCTTCGCAGATGCAATGGGCCGCAGAGCAGTCCTGGCTTTGGGGTCTGCACTCATGGCCTGCAGTGGTATTGTCTTTGGTCTATTTGGCAATTACTGGATTCTCTTAGCCGCTGCAGTGCTCGGCGTTATCAGTCCCAGGTGAGTGCTGACCTGGCTCTGGAACGATGTCCTGTTCATCTTGTTCACGATTCTGGATTTCGCAGTGGTAATGAAATTGGTCCTTTTCGAGCTGTTGAGGAATCTACTCTGGCTCATCTTACTGCCCGAGAGCATCTGAGCGATATCTTCGTCTGGTACTCTCTGATCGGCACCGCAGGCACCGCCCTCGGAATGATGGTGTGCGGGTGGGTCATCAACCTCCTGCAAACTACCAGAGGGTGGCAATATCTCCATGCATCCCAGATTGTCTTTTTCGCATATGCCGGAATCGGTGCAGTCAAATTTCTTCTTTCCATCTGCCTCAGTCACGAGGTTGAAGCCGCCAAGAAGGATAAGAATGGTGCTACTGCCTCTCAACAGCAACAGCGAGCAGCCGATGGTCCGGAAACCCAGCCTCTTCTGGGCGAAAGACCCAATAACGAGAACAACCAGAAGAAATCACTCTTCTCTTTCCTCGGCAGTAGCGATCTCGTTTCTTTAGTCGTCACATTCTTCGTCTTGTTTGGTCTGGACTCGTTCGCCTCAGGGTTGGCCTCATTGTGCGTATTAGTGGCACCCAGATGACAAGAAAATACGCATCGAACTGACCGTGCTCCGTAGATCCTGGATGACGTACTTCTTCAAGCGCAAATTCTCTCTGCCTGAGGGAGAACTCGGCTCAATCTTCTTTACCACCAGCCTAATCTCCGCCGCATCAATGCTGGTTGCGTCCTCCATAGCCAAACGCATCGGCAATGTCAAGGTTTGCTCTTCGCCTTCAATTGCATTCTTCCAATGCCCCTCATTTTTCTGACTATATCACAGACCATGGTCTTCACCCATCTGCCGTCCGCCATCTGTCTGGCGCTCATCCCAGTTCCCTCCGCCCTACCGGCAGCCTTGACCTTCTTGATCCTCCGTGCCTGCTCACAGAGCATGGATGTTGCACCACGCAGTGCCTTCTTGGCCGCTGCTCTTCCGCCCGAAAAGCGCACTGCTATCATGGGCGCCATCAACGTCGTCAAGACTTGCAGTCAGAGCTTAGGCCCACTCATCACCGGTGTTTTGGCCGATCATAACCTTTTCGGTGCTTCCTTCACGCTTGCTGGTATCCTGAAAGCAGTCTATGATATCGGTATGCTGATAAGCTTTGCGGGGAGAGAGCGCGCGCAAAGGATGGCTTCGAATCAACCCGGAGAGAACGCTTAGATGTCTGATTGCGAACATAAGCCCAACTCTGACTGTTTTTTTGCGAATTACAACACGTAGCTAGGCAGTTTCATGTGGTATCTCAGATCGTCCTACCGCAATGCATTTACTTTTTGGTTGTACAGATGAAAACTCTCGGGAACCTCCTGGGATCATGGTGTTGACAACAATGTCCTGCCAAAGTACTCTTTGTCACATCACCATCTTCATATTTCATGTGTGAAAAGGTTATCTTCCGGGGATGAGCTGTGATTATTGAAAATCTTGTCTTCCTAAATACAGTATGCAGGCATAGACTTCCTTCACAGAACCATCTTGAATTGTGGATCCCTATCATCGTTACATCCTATATACTGTGCATATTTGCCCTGCGCCTTGTCTCTATTAATTTTAGCGCAGTATAAGACATTCAACAGGATCCTGAATACGAGATCAGTTGGACTGCTTTGAATTGCTATAGACAAAGCTGTTGCACTTACATGACCCATGCGAATATAAGCAGGCCGAGAACTATTGTGTGACCTCGATGGTAATCTGGCTTATCCTTGTCAGGATAGTTGAATGCTGATAGAAAACGCACATGTCAGTTCAGGACCTTGACTCCAACAAGCAAGAGCAGGGGAATAGAAACAGAAAACTCACTAGCAACAAACCCTCCACAATTCGCAATGGCCAACTGCATTGCGGACGTAGTGGCCCTTTTGTAATGCCCCGCGGAGTTGTTGGAATTCCAAACCAGGATACATGGGACGCTGCTGTATATGCCCGTGGCCATGAGGAAGGTCATCCCATACTTGACTTTGGCGGTCTCGATGTTGGCAATTGCTCCGTAACCAGCAATCGCAATCGGCAGGGTAAACAGCATGACAACACCGCGAAGCTGCAGCCGGTCTGAGATGAGAGCCACAACGACTGGTCCAAAAGAAGGCATGCGGTCAGCAACTGAGGGAACCTGGATTGATTGGCGATCGAAGAGCCCACCTGTGATTACAGCTGCGACAGCGTACGGGATAACAGTCCAAAGTTGCACCTTGTTCGCGTCGTCCGCAAAGCCGCTTTCCTTAATGATGGTAGGTAGCTAGATTTCTGTCATGAGCAAAGATATCTGTTTGGTAGCAGTCAGGAGTCGACTGACAAAAAGACCAAATGAGTATAACCCAGACAAGATAGCAAAGTACGCTGTTGCTGACAGCCACATTCTCAAGTCCAGTACACCTCGGACAACCTCGGACCACCTGAAGGCCTCCTGTTCAGCCTCAAGAGTTCTGTTGAGCGATGTCAGCACAAATTGAATTTGAAGTCGATCTCAGTAGGACAGGCGCTTCTGGGTTAAAAAATTGACAAAAGCGTCGACATACCCTTCTGGTACAGATGGATTATCCAGTCGCATTCTCTCACGGGCGAACTTTCGTTCCTCGACTGTCAGGAAAGTTGCCGTCTCTATATTGTTGGGAAGACAGAGGTAACTGAGGGCGCCGCATGCGAAAGTCTGGAAGGCATCAGAAATAGCACGGATATTCTGTTCGGAGTTAACTTACCAATAGACCCTCAATTATCATAATCCAACGCCATCCTTCAAGACCACCTCGTGGTCCAATTGCTGCCAATCCTCGAGCCAAGAGCCCTATTATCAAGAACCAGGGACTTCACGTCAGCAATCACCACTCTTGAAAGGATGTTACGTTTTTACCTCCAAAAGCCCCCGATAATGATGCCGCCGTGTAGAATAGGCCGATGCGAAGGGCTAAGTCGGAACGTTTATAGAAGAAAGACAGGTAGAGTACCTGACGGAGTCTTAGACCTTGCTCATTGGAACGCTACCAGCCGGTATGAGAGAGAAGGATCTGGGATAAGCTTCACATACCATGCCAGGTAACAGTCCTCCCTCTGCTACTCCGAGTATGGCGCGAACGGCGACAAAGCCCGCAAAATTACGCACGAAGCCCAGACACATGGTGATAATTCCCCAGACCATTGTGAGGGTAGGTAACCAGATCTTCGGTGATGCCTTCTTGATTATCAGATTGCTCGGAAGCTCGCTACCGGCACACGCTCAGCAACACGGTCAGAAACCTTCAGTCATTGACACTCACCTGCAGATATATGTGAGATAGAAGACCGTAAGGCCTATGTCATACTGATGGCCAGTGATGTTTAGATCATGTTGGAGACCAAGAATCTTTGCGTTTCCCACGTTTGTCCTGAAAGAAGCCTTTGGATCAATATTCAATCTGGTACTAATTGAAAATGATATTCTGTTTCCTCACCTGTCAAGAAATGAACATAGAAAAAGAAGAGCCAGAACGGGAAGAATCCTATCGGGGGATATTTTAGCTATCTAATGACCATAGATGTCGGATGCGGACCAACCTCGTGTCCAGCTTGAAAAGAATACTCCGAGTCAGCTTTTGTTGGTAGGCATTATCGAAAGCCATGTTATCTAATGACTCATGTTTGACATCTTCCAATGTCTCATGGCTAGGCTTCATCGTATCCATGACCATATGTACGGACAAACTGTAGAGAGAACATGAGAATGAAAGCAATCAAGATCATCAGAACAGTATATCGTAGCAGGGGGTTCGAGTTAAGTATCCGAAAGAAGATTGGCAGAAAGACGTGAGGAGTCCTCCAATTTCGGCCATCATTTCTGCAACCGATGGGAAGATACCAAAAGTAGCTGTCTAGACCTTTGTATCCCCGCATTTTCTTCCCCAGCCTAAGATCTCGGGTTGCTTAGTTCTGGGCTGGAAAGCTTGGCGTTGGGGTCGCTGGAATACTGATTCACTCTGTTAAATTACCGCTGGTAATTACGTACTCTTCCGCTGGCATTGCCTGACTTCAACCGACACCGCCCGGAGTCCAGTTTTGGCGCCGAGGCATCGATCATCAACATCGTGGTTGGGCAAATGGCCGATGTCAAGATCATGGCATGTCTGGGAGCATTCCTCGCTCATAAGACTAAAATCTCTCGTCATCTTCAATTGTGCAACATACGCTACCCCATTGGCACTGATTGAAGAGATTGAGAGAATATGTCAAAACTGTCCAGCAGCCTCAAGGCTCTGATCAACGCCCCGGGTGCGCGGCCAAATACTGTCCCTGCCTCTCGCAATATACGCTCCGTCTACCGAAAGATTCAGCAGAGCGCTCTAGCAAACAATGTCTCTTCACCGTCATGGCTGGCTTTGTCGGTTCGTTAACCCTTCCTCACTCGCCCCGTATGAACCCCCCAGCGAATTGTCCTGAAGTAGCTTTGACTGATCCTGTTATCTTCGACCAACAGACAGCCGCCACGATGACCATGAATTCTCCCGATTCCCTTGCGATCTTGTTTCAATTAGCTGCATCGGCTCAGACAGAGGAGGAAAGCGTAGCCACAGCAGAGCTGATGCGGGAGGTGGGGCTGAAATGCATCAGTTTCAACGGCATCCCGCGGACGATCAACTGCCTCAATGCTTTCAAAGCGAGCTTGCCCGAATCCGTCAGCGAGAAACTATCACGTACTCCGACTCGAGCCCCTGACCCCGGGAATATCAATGACATTGGTAGGCGCGGCCGAGCCTTGTGGGACTCCATCTACCGGCCCTTTGAAACCAAGCTTATCAACAAATTGGCGGATTCGCATCCCGATCTGCCCGTTCACATTCTGAACAGCCATTACGGTGCCCTATTGTCGGATCCCGCTGGGCGGAATACCGGCGCGAATGCTGGCCGCATCGTGACGTCTATTGTCGCGATTTCATGCTTGCGTGCGCAGTCTGGTGTGGGACCGCAAGTGACATCGCATGTGTTTGGTCTGCGAAAGGCAATCGAAGACGGTTCGTGGGCTCACGATGTCGAAACTGAGCAAGGTGCCCGGTGGCTGGCAAGTGACGAGGGTAATACCTGGATATTGGCCAGCGTGGATGATATCGTCCAATCGATCAGCGAGGGCGCCGGGTCAAATTTTGCGCCGCTCAGGACCTCTAAGCTATGATTAGATGCTCTGTGTCAATGATGTTGTTGTGGATAGACTTGGATGACCCTTGGCGTATATATTTTTTATATAGAGACGTCTTCGCTCGCATTGACTATATGCAAAGGCCGCTGCTCAATTTCTCGGAATCGGCCTTGTGTATCCCGTGTAAATCGCGTCACCCTGTCAAGTCTTACTGGAGGATGAGATGGTGGCTACACCCGCTTCCTTGTCCAAGATTCTAGAAAATGGTTCATAATAATATCCTATACATGATGTCTACACGAAGCGTTATTCACATGGCAGCCCGCATCGATCATGTGCGATTTCCTAAAGTCGGGATTGAGCGATTTCATTCCATGATCTCCAATTGCTCTGCAACAGCAAAGTTCGCCCCTGTTTTGTTTCGGACTTCCTCAACTTCTACCCCTGGGGCGAGCTCCGTCAGCAGAAGCTCCCCTTTACTTCGATTAACCTGGAAAACACACTAAACAGCCACGGTCAGCCGGCCTATAGAGACTGAGGTCGCATATGGGTCAATAGACTTACCAGTTCCGTGATGATTGTACTGACGCAGTTGGCGCCTGTCAAAGGCAGGCTACATTCGGCGACGACCTTGGGTGATCCGTCCTTGGCAGTATGGCTGGTGGCGACAACGATCTTAGTTTGGTCTGGATTGGAGATCAAGTCCATAGCTCCTCCCATTCCCTTGAAGATCTTTCCGGGAATCATGTAGTTCGCTAGATCGCCGTTGGCGCTCACTTGCAGGGCCTGCTTATCATTAGCCCATGTACACTATCCCTTCACAAGCATACTCTTCCTCACTCACCCCGAGGATGGATACATCAACATGTCCGCCCCGAATCATGCCGAACGATTCAGTGCTATCGAACGTAGCTGCGCCTGGCATAAGGGTGACGGTCTCTTTCCCAGCGTTGATGATGTCCCTGCAAGCTGGTTAATTCACGCACGCACATGTCCAATGGACAGAACGTACGGGTCCACTTCGTCTTCAGTAGGATACGGTCCCTAGTCATAACCATTAGTTGATGTTGTTTGGCCAAGTCTGAAGGCTACCTCACCATGCCGAGAATACCATTTTCTGACTGCACCCAAACTTTCATACCTTCTGGTAAAAATGACGGAGCCAGTGTGGGAATTCCTGGACGAGTGTCAGCGCTTGAGGGGCTCGAGAAGCCCAAGGTACTTACCAACACCCAGATTAACGTAATATCCTTGCTTTAGTTCCTTCGCAGCTCTCCGGGCAATGCGGTTTCTCTGAACCACGGCAGGATCGCTTGAGAACTTACCCGCATCCTCATTCTCGCGAGTCCGTAATTTCTTGATTTCGATATGCTTCTCTGCCGTGGCAGGAACAACTCTATCCACAAAAATGCCCGGCAGGTCGACATCATTAGGGTCGATGGACCCGACCGGGACAATGTTTTCCGCCTCCACTATAGTAAGAGTGGCAGCTTTCGCCATGACCGGACCAAATGCCTTCGTTGTATACCTGGAGGAAGTTCCAATGTTCAGCAAGTCGAGTGATGCATGAGCAGACAACAAACTTACCTGAAAACACAGTTTCCTGCTTCATCTGCTTTCCAAGCACGAAGGATAGCCACATCACCAGTGAGGGCTGTCTCCATCAAATACGTTTTGCCATTGAATATCCTCGTCTCTCGTGGTGTACCACGCTCCAATACTTTCCCAGACTCATCTAGCCGGACGGGTATTTCTCCCGCTTGGAGTAACGTGTCTGCGAAATAAAGTAGAGTCAGAACTGCAGATGCAATGTATGGAGACTTTCGGCAGAGGAAGACTTACGCGCCCCCGTAGGAGTGAAGAATGCCGGAATCCCAGCTCCTCCGGCACGTAATCGCTCGGCTAATGTTCCTTGGGGACACAGCTCAATAGCGATCTTCCCCGTCAAATACTTCTTCTCCAAAGCCTTGTTGTTCCCCAGATATGATAGGATCAACCGATCTACTTGTCCAGCTTGAGTAAGTGTAGAAAGTCCTCCTCTTCCAGGAGCGCCAGCGTTGTTCGAAACTGCTGTGAGGGAATGCAGATTTTCAACTCCTCTACGATTAATAGCCGATAAAAGCGTATCTGATTAGTGTCAATTTGTCTGTTGAACCCATCTTCTTGTTGGGAAGATATGTACCTGCGACACCGCAAAGGCCAAATCCAGAGCTCAGGATTGTAGAACCGCTTTTGAGGTCAGCAACAGCCTCATCTGCATCTCTGAATAATTTTGAAGCGCCTCGCTCAATCTTGGGTGCAAGTGTCTGTTGCTGCGGAGTAGCCGTTGAATATCGTACATGGCAAATGTTTGTTGTTCGAAGAACAGGTCCCACACGTGCTTTATAACATGTCCCTAACTGAAACCATGGACGGGTAACAGTATAAGTTCTCCGCGTTGGAGACATGCTTGCTGAACCCCGCAAAGTCGCCATTCCTCGTCAGCACCAAGCGAAGTATGCCACCCAGAATATAGAAACAGACTGCGAATCACGTATATCGAGTGAAAGTGGATTGAGGGTATTGAGATCTTCTAATAAACATTCTCTGCATCGAGAGAGCACTAAGGTGTCTCATATGTAAGTCGAAAAGTGACGCACCGTCCGGCAATCGGAGCTACTTCTGGGCGCCGACAGGAGGTCGAGACCCACAACATCACAATCACGCTCAACACTATTGCAACGCACAGGATAATCGGTACCTAAGTATTACTGTGGGTTGCAATGTTGATGTTATTGGTCGAAACCCAGGTCGGCTGCATTGGCGAAGTCGAACCAATCCCAGTTCATCAGATCATCCAGTGGGACGTCAGGAATATTCATGCCGAATGCCGAGTCAGCCCTGTTCACTGCATCGATAATTTGGTGATCAGACATCGCGGAGAATTGTAGCGTCTCTGGCCATAGCGTAGAGGAATCTATTGGTGGTTGTGTCACTGAAGGTATGGGGCAGTAATCGCTCAATGTAGAGGGCTGTAAGGGCTCTACCGTGTCTAATTCGGTATGTTTTTGAGAAACAAGGCCCATATGAGCACGTCTAACAAGTTCTCGTAGCAGTCGTCCATACAAGACAGACGCACCTTCTCTGTGAGCTGGGATGGCCCCAATCCGTTCGAGGACATCAGCCGTTTCCTCAATCAAGTGTCGCACGCTTGGTGCCAAGTTGGACCTGCTGTCCACGGGCGTCACACTGAGGCTAAGGGCAGAACATGCAGCGAAGGCGATCATGATCACTGTATTGTTGGGCATGGACTTTAGCCTCGACTCTCCTTGAATGGCTGCCCGCATGACATTCAACGCAGAAGAGAGGCCAGCGGCGCGAAAAAATCGCTTGACTTCGAGTGGTGCAGTGGGATGATTGATCACACCACCATATGTAGACAGTTGCGTGTGTGTTACCAATATCTCGACATACGGCGGAAGGCAGCGGGCTTTCCGTGTTATATTAGCACGGAATTGCTATGTGAAGCTGATCCGGACAAGGTTTATAAATAAACTTACAGGGTCCACCAATCTCAAGAGCCCAAGCCGCGTACCATTGATCATAGAAGTCTTCAATGAGTTTCTTGATCCTAGAGGCGAATGAGCCTTTCTTCGAGAGCCATAAAAGACGACAGGAGTGACCGTACGACTGAGCAGCTTCAGATCCGATGTCCCCAAGTCGGCAACTGTCGCAACGCGATTTTACTTTTTTCAGAAGTTCATCCTGCCGTGTACTGATGTTAGCTCTCTGCAAGCAACCAAGCATAATGAAGGTATTTCGAGGGTTGTCTTACTAGATTCCTCCGGAGAACTGCCATGGAGTTCATCGGCCCATCCCGAGAATCGGCAATATCAGAGATATGCCATCTGTCACAATTCTCGATGAGAGCAGTCGGGGGAACTGTATAGCTTCGTCCACGGGCCAAACAGACACTGCAATATACGGATTAGCCGAACACGCCGTATGCATATCTTCGACCATGAGCTTCAGCACCTACCCACGCTCGAGGACGAATAACGCGATCCAAGTCCTCTCGCGTCTACGTAACAATCTTCGGCCCCATTCCGAGGCCGGATCAACAGCTTCGAATCCATCCATGTGCAAGGCTCTCTTTGCATCAATGCAATCAGTCTTCGCAAGCCTGTTCTGGAGAGTACTATCAAAGCCAGTTGCGGGTGTCACTATCTTGTTGAGAGAAAGGTCCAACGCAACAGTCAAAGCCATTGCAATATAGGAGCATGTGTCATCATCGCCAGAACTGCTCCCTGGGGCCATCCATGGAACGTTTACCATGAAGGCCAAAACAATTTCCACTGATCGATAACGCTGAGCAATGACCTTATAAGCCAGTGATGTACAGTGCCTCGTTAGTCTTTTGGATAAGGCGGCTGCAGATGGGTGAAACCGGGCAGCTGCAGCCAGCATTGAAGTGAAAAGAAAGGCCGACTGCGAGCGTACGAACGACACAGTATGCACAGTCGGATCCAGGCCCCACCTCGTGTGGGCCAAATACTCGTAGAAGCTATTGTCGAATTGGTCAGTTCACTGACACGATTACAGCTTGGGTCTAATAGGTTGACTTACAAAGAAAAAAGTAATTCTGCCTCATGCAAAGTAATCAGGCCCAGTTCGATAGGGTCCATGTCCGGGCCGAGGTCTAGGTTCGCCCTGACTGGGACGAAAAAAGACCTGGCATTTGGCAAGTCCTCGTTGGGGCTACTATGCGGTCTGAGAGACGATTGTGACACAGATGGAGTGGACAATCTGAGTGCGTCACGGCATTCGGCGGGCGAAAATTGGAGGTCAGATGCTCTGGCGAGAAGTTGCAATGGATTCTCCGCGTCATCCAAGGCTAGACTGTCCCCAGCAGCGGCACCTTGCGGAGGAGATCTCCTATGTGACCGGTCAGGGTCATTTGATATCTCCTCGACCTCACTCCGTGCAGAATGCCCTTGTGTCCCGCTAAGGAGATCTTGCAGGTCTGAAATAAGTTTTCGAGCGGCATCAGTCTTGGGGCGTTTGATCGCCTCCTCTATTTGGTGGAATGCTTTTTCTAGTCCTTTGCGTTTGCTACAAGCAGACGTAAGCATTTATGATTGTAATAGAAATAGGGATAGGGTCCGGTGACTCTGACTTCTTGACACCCTTTTGTCTACCAAGATGGTGACTGGGTACGATACATTCCAGATTTGCGTGTTTGCATCTGTCACAGCAGATATCCCCGCGGCTGCGCTTGCATCGTATTTTGCTTCTTCGGCAATTCAAACATGCGGCCTGTCGTCCATGCGGCGTTCTGTTTGACTGTGATGGATCGGCTGTGCCGTCCATCATCTTACTTCCTGAGGCACGATTCTTTGTTTCAGATCATTTCAAGCAATTCCCAAATTCCATAGGCTTATTATTACCAAGCGACGGGCAGTCTGTCAAGGCGGTTCCAAGTGCTTGTCCACCTTCACAAACAGCGCGTGTCTAGGATATAGAATGCAGGTACATGTGTTGTTATTGTCGAAAGTGGTCAGTCATCATAATTTCCATTAGGGAATATATAGTTTACCGGTGCCTGGATTTTCCGGCATCCAAAACGGGGGGGGAAAGGCGACCCATTCAGAAAGCCACGCTGAGAGGCGAGCAATGTACCGCAAGATGGATTACTTGCAATAACAAAAAGTGCTTATTCCTGCGTCAGAGTAGCACAAGTAAAAAGACGGCAAAAAGAAGGCTCTGCCGCTTGAAAAAGAAGCCGAACGCGGGGGTCGAACCCGCAACCTTGAGATTAAGAGTCTCACGCTCTACCGATTGAGCTAGCCCGGCTGGGCTATATTTCGACCATGAATACTTTGCTTCATGGAGACAGAGAATGCTGATAAGTGAGTAACACCCATTGCCACATTTAATACATTCCATGAATAACTCCCTAAAGTGCGTCAACATACTCTCAAGGGTAGTGATACAGCGACACCCTCTGGGAATATAGCAACACCATCTTGGATACAGCGACACCCCCCTTACCCAATCAGGTAAGGGGAGGTCATGTGATCACCGCAAAAGTGGATTCTCCTAGGCATGTGATCTGTGTTTTAGGCTCAGTGCCAGGACTACTATGTTACGCAACAGCTTAGTATTGCGATTAACTTAAGGATGTCATTTTCCTTAGTATTAATAATCCTAGACTTATAATCGCCTGCTATTAACCTTAATGCCCATCTTTAAGATTATAAAAGCCTAAATATCAATGCTTTAACAAGGAAGATGCAGGCTATAGATATCTATGGCTATGGGTATGGTCATCTACAGGCGGAGGTGGGTATGGCTGCGTGGGCAGGAGCCATTATAATAGCATCACAGCTGGTATGAAAGCATTATCTAATTCTTAATAGATAGAAGCCTCTAATTAATGGAAATCCAGTATGATTAGATTATGTAATTAGAAGGAATTAAAAGCATGAATCCTATAATTAAATTTGTGTAGTAAATTAAATTATTTTTACTCCGCTGAGTCCATGTTGACAGTGATCACATGACCTTCCCTTACCTGATTAGGTAAGGGGGGTGTCGCTGTATCCAAGATGGTGTTGCTATATCCCCAGAGGATGTCACTGTCACTACCCACTCTAGTGGTCGACCGTGTACAATCAATAAAACAGTGACAATGAGCAGTAAAAAGAAAAAATGTGACCGACGCAGGGATCGAACCTGCAATCTCTTGATCCGAAGTCAAGCGCCTTACCATTAGGCCAGCCGGCCCTGTGATTGGATGTGGCAAAAACCTCCTATCATGGAGAAATCCAAGTTAGCGTGCCTACACAGCCAGACTTGACAGGATGTACATAAAACGATTTCGAGCCTTTCTCTTTATATAGGTGACCTGTGAAATAATGTAATGCTTCCCACTGACCTCGTTTCTAAATCAGGAAAGAACGCATCCCTCAACACCCTCGACTATCCACTTATATTATTATATATTACATATCGTTGTACGTGACATCCTAATGACCGTCGCAGCCTGACAGGGGACATTTGTTTTTAGACGCCAGTAAGGGAAGGTGAGAGCGACTATTGATCCAGGGGTCATGTGTCTAGCTCGCCAAACATGGTTGTCAGATAGCAGAAGATTCGTCGTTCACTTCCCATCCAGAAAATATACAGCATGTCAACATGTCAGACTATGATGCCCGGGGCTCACTAGACGGTTCTGTTGCATGTATGTTATGATCAGCGGGATGAGCACCGCTAGTCGTTGAAGGATTTTCAAGTATGGGCCGAGTGGCGGCTTGCTGTTGTCGGACTTGTCTGTTTGGCGGTAATGAAGCTGGAACTTGCAGCGTCTGGCCTGACGTCGGAATATAGGCCATTGCTGGACCAGGGGCAGCACTGCCTCCGCGATTGCTTCCCGAATCTGAATGGATATCTGACATGACGCTCCGTGGCGGGGATTCGATAAGCAGAGGAGCGGTGGCAGCAACAGGCCGCTTGGACGGCCTTCCAACCTTGACTGGAGCAGGACCCAGCATGGGTGGATAACTGAATCCGAAACCCCACCGAAGCCACAGGCCGACTTTCCTCCAGGATCCCATTTGCTGCCATTTCTCTTTAAGCACCTGCGCCTCCTCGGAAGTACGAGCCTGAAAGCCTTTGCGGCAGAACAGAAGGAGCAGACAGGAGACAATAGGAGCGAGCATGCACCAAGAAATTGGGAATCCTCGGCGAGCCTGCCAACCCCTCATCAAGCGTCGAAACTGAAACCAATTCTCGATGAGGCCGATGATGAACCATACTCCGAACCATCCCAGAAGGGAGATAAGCAGAATACCAAGGGGAGAGATAACACCGTAATAAGAGCTGTCGTAGAGCCAGTTGCCGCCGTCACTACCACCATAGTACGAGGAGCTGCTGCTGCTAGAGGAGCTGCTGTCATAGCACCCGTACTCTTGGTACATGGTGTAGGGCTTGTAGGAGTTACTAAGCCTGCTCAGACTCGATGCCGGCACTTGTGTAGGATCAATGAATGCAAGAGCATTGGTATATGTGGTTGGTTGAAAGGGTTGGCTATCGTCCACGGAGTAGCTCGTTGACATGGACGTCGCAAGCAAAGCGTCTTCAATAGCGTTGGGAACATAGACCGGAACCGCAGTGGTCAGGGTCCACTGCGAAGAGCAGGATGTTGGGGCTGTGTATACCATGTTCACATAGTACTGCGTGATGATATTTGAATCACGGTAATTGTAGGTCGACTCAATCCCTGCACCAGATGGATACAGCACTTGAACAATTGTTACAGCATCGTCATAACTGTCGCTAGTTATATAAGTTTTTGTTGAAAGGGCAGCAGGCATCGGTGATGCTGTCGGCGTGATTTCATCAATGCGAGTCCTTGTTGTGGTCTTGTAGCCGTAATCATAGGTGGAGACATCTTGCTCATACACTTTGGTGACTATCCAGGGGGCAGCGAAGGCGCAAGAAATTTGATGCAAAATGAGGGACAGAAATACAAGTGGAAACGAGTGTGAAGGTGCCATTATCTCGGCTGTACTTGGGAACTGGGCTCCCAGATGGTCAAACGACGGAGCGGGACTCAGAAAAAGAGTCGAACAGAAGGATAGAGAATCTGATCAAGGAAAAGCCACCCTTCTCATGTTTTCTTTTTAAGGAGAAAACACATTGCGCCACAGAGGGGCACTGCCTAAAGAAATGGTTCAACGGATTGAGGTTCGCCTTTTGCTAAGGGGTCCTTGTCTACGGACTCACGGAGTTCCTAGCTCGCTGTGGCATAAGCCCGCTCGGTCTATGCCTCTGTGGGTGGCCATGGTCAAAACTAGCATACCTTCTCGGCGTGGTAATTGGACGGACTTCAACGTAGGGGACAAGATGAAAAAACCGGGCTGATCACGCTGTACAGTTAGCTCATTTTCTGCCTCGTTCGGCCAGTCAGCGATTGGCCGACTAGCGAGATTTCTTGAAACTAGACTAGAGAAAGTTCTGAGAAAATGAGGAAGAGGACTTGTGAGAGTTGTGATGGTGACTGAACCAGACAGATACCACCAACCAGTCTAACCAGGTATATGATTAGTGAGAGGGTCTAGGAGGTAACCGTAGTTTAAGGCCCTGCGCTAGGGATCAAATAGGTACTAGCAATTTTAGCAAGGTTGTATCGCGCAGGAAAAGTGACCTAGAAAGGGCCTAGACACATCGGCTCGCTTACTTCTCATTGGGAGAATATTGACAAAGTCACCAAGGCTCTCTTAAGCGACTTAGAGCCTCAGTGGCTGCTTGGCCAATTGTGTGAATAGGTATTCATTATTATTATCTCGTTTAAGTAAGGAGAATTAGAAAATGGATAATCTCTTACGGATATACTCGATACCACGTACTAAGGCAGAAAATACCTAGACAGTACCTTGTGCCAGACAATGTGCTCATGCAGACTCTGGGAGACAGCCATGACTCCGTAATTTTGTGGATATTTTGGCGACACTGGAGTTAGTACTTTTCCCTTTCTTTGGTCGAAATATTTGCTCAGTACTCTCCACATGGAGAGACGCAGACGCAGGTCGGATCGTGCCAATGCAAGTCTTTTGAATGAGACAATGAGCGCCACTTTCATTTTGATGCGAGTAGAATCTATATAGTCCCCTAGCGCATCGATACTCCTGGGCTACTCGCTTTAGTCCTTAAGCACAGAAAAATCCTAAATCTGGACATTGATTGAGTGCTAGCTGTACAACAAGAGGCATGGGCTTTGAGCGTGCTGATATTATTTTCAGGTCAGCCTACGTTCTTGAACGTCCTTAATCAATAAGGAGAGTTAAGGTCATGCTGGTTCTATGCAACCGGGCCGTATCCCAGGAGACATTAGGGAAACGAAGTACAGGCAGGATAAGAGGTGAAGCTAGAGTTTGGCGACGACATAAGAAATACTAGCGGGAAATCGAAACCAATATTCAGTATCACCGAAGCCTACGCCAAACAAGATGGTCCCCAGAAGAAGTTGGAACATGAGACTGTGACAGCAAATGCAGGACGACTTAGATGTAGAGCGAGAATGGCGGATAATCAAAACTAGGGGGGCATAACTTCGTCAATATCCATCGGAAGGAAACAGGCAATCGAGTCTGACAGATGCTACAAGCGGACGGCAACGTTCGGTCGTCGGTTGTAACATGTAAAGCAATCAGCCAGCTGTCAAGGGTGCGCTGGAAGGTAACAAAAGGAAGACAAGCATTTCTTTCAGCTTGCAGCTCTGAGAGCACGTAGTCTCGCTCCCAAGCCGTCCTCCAGCTCCGAGTCGGCCTGCTTCTGCTCTTTGACGTCTTCCTTGGGAGCTGCATCAGCATCCAAGGCTAAGCGCATGTCCACACCCGCGTCGTCTGCAAGCTGTTCCATGAGACGATCAACTTCGGCCTCGCCCTCGGCACCATACTCTTGCATAGAGATACCTTGAGCAACATCCTCTATCGCACTGCTAGCGATTTTGAAATCTTCCGATCGCGCTAAGAAGTTATTTGCATGAGACACCAGGTTTTCAAGATTAACACTCTTCGACGCCGCATCCAGGCCTCTTGACGCCAGAGCAAGGGTTCGGGATGTATCGCGAGTACTCTGTGCGGCTTTAAGTTCATTTATTATGACATCCGCCCGTGCAGCCTCAGCTCTGAGGGTTACTTGTCTTCGTTTCTCTCGTACGGCAGAAGCGGCGTGGATACGGGCAATTTGAAACTCGCGATTCTTCATAGCCTTGTCCGCCTTTGCCTTTTCTGACTTGAATGTTGCTTCAGCGCGAGCAGCTTCCTTCTTAAGCCGGTTCGAGTGCAACTGCAATGGGGGAATTAGTCAGATATAGGTTGTTTATTTCCCAACAGTTGAGAGCGTAGCACATAAGAGTGCTTCGCGCAGGTGGAAACTCCGGCAGCTTACCTTGACATTGGTGCGGGCTTCGAATATAGGGTCCTTCCGAACCATTTTGCCTGGGATGCAATGACAAATTAACTTGTTAAAGTCAGAAGATATGAAATCGCTAACAAGTATCCTGAATGCGAAAGTGACCAAGTTGAAGCTGAATGGACAGTTTCGTTGGAGGCGGAAAGGCGGGAGGCAACAATGCAGCCATGACTTCAGGTTCTCGATTAGGAGAGGTGGGGATAGCGTTGATACGACTATCGAAGTGGCGTGGCAACATCATCCCCATCTCCGAAGTAGAGGACAATCTACAAGATCCTCTTGACTTGACTAAGAAATCAAGTTGTTATTATTCCTAACCAAGTACACTTTACAGAAGAATGATTAATATTTCTACTACGTATGAAGCGCGATCGGCATAACGACTTGGAAAAGAGAATTACTCTGAGAAACAGCGAAACGACCAGCATCTCAGTTGCCAGTTGCTCTCGATTGAAAAGATACACTATATTACAGCCCAAATTTCATCGTTCCTTACCCATCAGCAGAGACGTCAACGTCTCGCTCAATCGCTTTGAACTCCATGAACTCCGTGGACTCCTGTGGCGGTTGCCCAAAGTATCAGGCCGCGCACCTCGCTCAAATTTCGCGAAGAGAATTCTTCTTCGACCTCTCGTTCGCTCAAAACGATCTATCGCCCAAGCGAAGGTCAACAACGACTCCCAGTGCAGTCGGCCCGCGTCATCACCGGCGGACCAAGTTCCCCGAGAGACATTTTCACGAACAGCCAGCTGCAATGCCCTGCCCGTCGCATCGCGAAGTGGACGCGCCAAGGCTGGGTTGCAAGCTAGAAGTCTGGTAAGAAGTCTCATTCGGAAGACTGTGGGCCGGCTCGATGCCTTCGAGGGCGACAGGCTCGGAGTCGAAATTAACCATAGAATCAAATGGAAATGCTGATAGATCTCCTGTCTCGAGAATGTCAAAGGAGAACCCGTCTTCAATGACCGAAGAATCTGGCTCAGTGGGTGAATCACCGTTGAATAGGCGGCGGAAGTCATCGTCAGAAAGAGGAGCTGCAATGTCATTTGCAGCGTCATGTTCAACGCCAGAGCCGAGGTCAAAGAGGGGGAGAGCACTTCCAGGTCCTTCGAGTCCGCCAACTGACACTGCAGGTCGCACAACACCGCTGCAGGATGTTGTGTCACGTCGGAGGACTCAGCCAGACTGGAAGGCTTTAGCGTTGGCGAGTAATCAGTGATTGAGGGAGTGGGAAATGGAATTCGTTCGAGAGGAAGCTCATCACCCTCTTGCTTGAATAAGGTAGGTGTGAGAGTTGGGGATGCTGTGGCAGGAGAACCGGGCTTTGGAGTGCTGCTACGAGAGCCTCGAACCTCAGCAGTCAACTGGGCGAGTTGTTGGCTCAATCGATTGTTCTCAGCTTCCATCTGTGACAGACGCTGGAGAAGGAACTGGTTTTGCTGTTCCATCTGAATCTTCTCGTTCTCCAACTTCTCCATTTCGAGCCTCTTGCGCTCGCGAGAGGTCTGTGCCGCCGCACGGTTTCGGAGAACACGCTCGATGCGACGCTGTTCCTTTTCATCTTCTGTCTTGGCCCGTTTCCTTCATGAAGTGTAAGCCATCCGACCAACTGATTTCGTCGGACGCGATAGAACATACCTTGGAGGCAAGTTGGTCTTTGGAATTGGTAGCTCCTGTCCCCAGGACTTCCGTTTCTTGGGTGGCTTCTTCTCTTCGGTTTTCGTCTCCTGCACCTTGGTCTCTGGCGCGTTCAACGATGTATCCGCAGGCGAGACTGTGAGCAGCGGGATAGCCGGTGCTGGCGTACCAGGCAAGGACTCTACTGAAGTGAAGGTGTCTTCCATTTTGTAAGCGTGATGGGTCGATCTGGTAGACAAGATCACGGGTATTTGCAGCTCTCTGCGAGTATCTCAGGAAAGATGATGCAGAGAACACGCCTTGTATGGGATGAAGGAGTCTGATGACGACGTCCACTTGCCCAGTTTACGAAAGGAAAAGCCACGTTGGCATAACGGTCAAACCCGGAGCCAGGCGCCGGAGGTCTGCTAATGTGGTGGGATATGGTAATGTGGTGGGATATGACCAGAGGGAACCAAAAAGGACAAGTGTTCAGAAGTTGGCTAAAGTGGTCGGTTTTGATGGGGAAAGGTGACTCTTTAAAAGGCCAGCGTGGTCAGTTCTGTCAGCAAGGGGGCGGAGCTGCCTCCGTCAGCATAACGAGGGTAATGTTTCAAAAATTACGCGAATCTCACACCTCAAAAGGGCTCACCGGGGGGTAGCACACACCAATAATGACGGTATTGGAGCTGTAATGCGGGCATGTACGGCGTAACAGTGAACCAAATCTGGCCCCCTCATGCTATCCCTGGAAATGCAGCCCCTCTAAGCCTCCGTTCAAAGTCAAACGTCCCAATATCTGAAACAGCCAAGTCCAACCAGCCAGGAGTCCTGTTGGCTGGAAATCATGCATTTTCCTCCGTACGGAGTACATACTTCAACATACCCCTCAGGTAGACATTCCATAATCTGGCCTAATTGAATGTAGTACTAGGAATTTCTCAGATGATTGCCAACCAGCATGACT